GTTTTAGTCTTGACGTAGTTAGAAAGGAATGAGACAAATGTATCCAAACATTTAATTTAGAAAGATAGCGTGTTCGTATGCTGCCTTCATGCGCTGTCGGAAATGTGATAATTCCCACTTCTGAAGTCGTGATTACGAGCTCATTGCATTCAAGTTTCGAAATGGGAGGGTGTTAATGTGCAATTTTTTACCTAGGAAAGTCGTATTTACGTGAAAATACGTGCACGTGAAGGCAGCATTAGCCTGCATTAGTCTTACAATACCCTTTTTTTGCAAAATGTTTCTGCAATTCCATTTCTAGAATCTACGCTGCAGATTATGGACACTGGAGACCATAAGCAGGTGTTGTGACTATGAAAAAACATTTATGTATTATGACTGCACTGATATGTAAACGATAAATTCAAACTTTTTGTTAATAGATTTGGTACAGTTTTCCCCAAGAATGAGGTCAATTTTTAAAAGTCTTAGTTAAAACTCCTAACTGATTATGCTCGACTGTAACAAAGCTGGTCATTGTTCTTGTCACTGCTCTTATATTTTAAAAATGTTATCCATTTTTATTTTTTTTTTACGTGTAATCTAAATAATGTAATGCAATTGAAACATTTGGTTTAATTACCAAATTCTTTTTCTTTTTAATACTCATAACAATAAGTAAATTAAGGCTCTGTTTCACAGACACGGCTTAGACAAAGCCAGGATTAGGCCATAGTTCAATAATTGACATTTAAGTAGCTTTTAAAAAAACGCACCTTAGAAAAAAACATTACCAGTGTGCATTTTGAGACAAAACAATGGCACTGCTATATTTTAAGATATGTCAGTACAAGTTGCTTTCAGTTATAACAGCTTAAACATACATTTTAGTCTAGGACTAGCTTAAGCCTTGTCTGAAATGTCAAACACACGTTATTGTGTTTTTTAGGTTTACATTTCAGTGAAAAATGTGCTTGACACTCTTGAGGCATACCAGTGACAAAAGGTCATATTTGTTCACATTTTTTTAATAATACTTTTTTTAGGCTTCAAAATATATAAATGCCACCTCTTGTTGTTACTGTGGCAAACCAATATTATGTCGGACAGACTTGGAAAAACACCTCCTTAGACACACCACAAATATAAGTGCAGAAAGACAGTCAACCAGGACAATCGAAAGACATGATCAACAACCATCTACTGTGGCCAGTGCAACAGGGTTCCATAAATCCAGGATAGCACATCAGCAGACCAGCCATCCACCGTGGTCCATGTATCAACTGACCAGCCATCGTCCATGGCCTATGAACTGGAGGTCCAGCCATCCAGTTTGGTCCATATACCAACTGACCAGCCATCCACCATGGCCTATGAACAGGGGGGACCAGCCATCCACCGTGGTCCATATACCAACTTGACCAACCATGGTCCAAGGCCTATGAACAGGGGGACCAGTCATCCGCCGTGGTCCATATACCAACTGACCAGCCATCCACCATGAACCAAAAACATTGGGGTCTACCATCTGTGGCCCAGGAGCAGGAGCGGAGACATCTTAAAACAAGTCAAAAATTAGTTTCATGTCCTAAATGTAATGTGACTTTATACTTGAAAAAATTACGACGACGCATAAAAAGAAAGCATGCAACTGAAAAAATTGACATATGCGCTGATTGTCATCTTGCGAGTCAGTGTATAGATGCAGTGAATGGTATTTTTGCAGTTGCCAAAAATTTCTGTGGGCCACCTGTTCCTGTTCATGTAAAGCAAAAACTGAGAGGTCCAAATGAATGTGAGGTGTATGATTGCTTGTTGTTTTATGACGTAGAAAATAGGAGTGGGCATCAAGCATTTAGATGTTCTCACCTAAGGTCGCTTGACTATTGTTCAACACCCTCAAACACCTGTCATCTTGAGGAAGACACATTGACTGAGCTTGTAAAGCAGAGATGGTTTACAGAAAACAAGAAAGAAATGTGTCTTGCCCGACTAAAGGAGGCAGCAGACCAAAGTGCCCCCCTTGCTGTGGGTGTTAAAATTGGACCACCCAAAAAGCATTATGTGTCTGTCTTGGAGAACAAATCTTCATACTACAGTCGATTGGGAAGGTTGATGGTTATGTATGATGCCCTGAGAAACAGCTGGCATTGTCCCTGTGTTAATGCACGGATGTCATGTCCACATAAGTATATCGCAAAGTGGTTCCCTTTCATGGGAACTTCGAACTGCGTCCTCTAGGGGTCGCTATGGGG